GAGGGAGGGGCACAGCTTGTACAGCACAGCAGAATCTGTCCTGGGGCTTGTTTTCCTGTCACAGCTGCCATGGGTGGTGGATGTCAGCGTCCCCATTTTACGGATCAGGAAGCTGAGCCACAGACAAGGTGAATGAACTACACAAGGCCACAGAGCCAGTAAACAGAAAATGCAAAATTTGTGCCTGGATCGTTCAGACTCCAAAGCCCATGTGCCACTAGCTGGGGGTGACAGATTCCCCCCAATATCTGTCCTAAAAAACGAAGCTTTGTGTTCCTGGAGGCCCAAGCTCATGCTTTGCCTTCAGGAGAATTCAGGTAGAGAACCCCAGCCCCACCCCGACTGCTCTATGTGGGTCCATCCAGGTGTGAGAATTGCTCCAGGGAAATTGCTGCACTATCAGACGTCTTAGTTGTGAGTGGCCTCCCTGGTTCTCACTGGAGCAGACAGGACATTCAGGCACTTGCGTGTCTTAGCCATGGCAAACTCTGGTTCAGAGTAAATGTTTGCTGGGCCTGTCTGTCACTGGCTGTGTGAGGCCGCTCGGGTCACTCAATCTCTCTGAGCCCCAGTTTCTCAATATGCAGAAATGAGAGACACAAGGACACTCATGCCACTGTGCCTCCTGGATGACCAAAAAACTCAAAAAGGCAGAAATAATAGACAGATGTGAGGTAACTCAAATTAAACAGACACTTTACCAAAATCCAAGGCAGAACTTTGTACATGTCACATTTGTTCTGGCATGAGTTCCTGCCAGGAGCCTGCATATGAAAGGAAACTAATGTTAGGAAGGACAGCAACATTTAGTCCCCAAAGACTAACATCAATTCTGCCTGGTTGGATGACTTTCCTCATCTGTTGCATAGCAACCTCCTCTGTCAGCTGCCTGTTTTTCCTCAGCATTTCCTCTGTAAAGTGTCTGCAGTGGAACGTGATCAGACTGAGAAAAGGAGGTTTGAAACACCATTTTATACGTTATCTGCGTCCAGATCTGTATCTCCTGTTCTGACTTGACCTGTGAATTCTACATCCATAATCCAACTGCCTACCTCACTCCTCCAATTGGATATTTCTCAGTATCCTCAAAATTGACATGTCCCAAACTGATTCCTTTGTATATATCCCCGTCCCCACCAACATTCTGTGCTTCTCCTCTGGTCATCTCTTTCTCTCCCCATGAGAATGTAAGCGCCTTAGGGAGATGGATTTTTGTTTGTTTTATTCATTGTTGTATCCCCAACTCCTAGAAAGATACCTGGCACATTTTACACGCTCAATAAATATATGTTGAATGAGTGAATCCCACCATCCAACTTGTTGTTTAAACAAGAAATCTGAGAGACTTTCTTTTCTCTATAAATTCACTTATTTTTTCCTCATTATATAAATAATTAGTGTTCATCATTAAAAATTTGAACATTACCTAAATATCTTAGAAATTGAGTAAACATCACTCCAAATCTCACCACCTTGAGATAAATATTATTAAGATTTTTATGCAATCCTTTCATATATCACTATATGCATACATATTTATACATGTATATCAACATATTCTTACATAAATGGCATTATATTGTACAGACTATAAATATTTTAAATTACTTTCTTTTGCTTATTGCCTCCCACTCCTATCTTTCACCTCCACCATCACCTGCGAGTCATGCATTTTTAAAAATTTATTTTGTTGTTCAACAGTTTCTACATGTACAATACAGTGACACTGATATTCTTTGAGTCCTGCAATCATTCTCACCCTCCTTTTCAAACATGCATTTTAACAAGCAATTTTATATCCATTCATGCTTAAAAGTAATGTTTATTGATTGTTTTACAAAAATTAAGATCATATTATAACTCTTTATGCATCTGATTTATCTTACTTACAACTAGTCTACCTTGGATTCTTTTAAATTGATGCAATAATTTTCCATGATATGGGTGTACCACAACGTAGTAAACCATTCAGGGCTTGGTATTGTGAGAATTTTCCGATTTTTTGCCAATTTGATGTTTATGTATTGGTATCTCCTTGTGGTTTTAATTACATTCCTAATAAGTAATGTGATGGAACACATTTTCATATATTAATAAACCTATTGTATTTCTTTTGTAAAGTGCTTGTGCAAGTCTTTTGACCATTTTTCTTTTGGGTTGTCTGTCTTTATCTTATTGATTTGTAGGAGGTCTTCATACAGACCTACAGATACTTATTGAAAACCTTTGGGGTCCTCTGTATTATAATTTTTTTTCACATTTTAGTAGGGTAATACAGTACATATAGTCTATACTATGTAATAGTTCCAACAACAAAAGCCACAAAGGCCAGATATTCACTTCTTCATATTCCCTTGGCAACTAAGAGAATGTGATCTAGGATTTACCAATATGTCAGGGGCCCACAAGACCACGCTTAGGTTCAATGATTCAATAGAAGGACTCATAGAACTCAAAAATTTGTTAAACTCATGGTTATGGTTTATTACAGTAAAAGGATACAGATTAAAATTAGCAAAGGTAAAAGGAACATAGGGCAGAGTCCAGGAGAGACAAGGCACAAACTTCCAGTTGTCCTTTCTCAGTGTGACAACACTTGGTGGAATCTTGTCAACTACTGAAGCTCACCTGATCCTTGGTTTCCAGGGCTTCTATTGGGGATTGGTCACATAGGCATGGAGTGCCCATGTGGCTGACCTTAATTACTCAGTCTTCAGCCCCTGCAGAGGTCAAACTAATATTACCTGGTTAAAAGCCCCCTCCATAAATTACATTGTTAGAATAAACTATCTGCCATGGCCCAAGACCCCAGGTAAACAAAAACACTCACCAGTCAGGATATTTCAAGGGTTTAGAGGTTACCTCCCAGGAGCCGATCAAAGGCCAGACCTCTCTTTGGAATGCACAGGATTTGAACATCCCAGATCTTCTGTGTCAAATCCTTACTGCTAGTCACAACTCCAAATAACACTTTATCTGGAAGGAGTGACTCAAAGATGCAAAGACAGGTAAGGTAATTTATTGTCACAGTTGTGGTGATGGTAGAAGCAGCCCCAAGAAAATCCACTTTCTAGGGGCAGCATTAACAGCGGGGCCAAGGGCAATGCCTAGTGTCCAGTTTGCAGTGATGGTAACAGTGGTGTCCAACCAGGTAGTTCTTTTGATAAGATTTTTGAAATAGAATTGGTGCCCAGCTGCTCTTAACAAATTATTTTACTAATTCTACTGATTTTTAAGATTAAAAAAAATTATTCTGAAATAATTATAGATACACAGGAAGTTGCAAAGATATTACAGAGAGGTCCTGTGTAACCTTCAGCCAACTTCCTCCAATGGTTACATTTATATGACTATAGTACAACATTAAAACCAGGAGACTGACATTGGTAGAATGTGTTTGTATAGTTCTATGTGTAGATTTCTACAATCACCACAGTAATCAAGATACAGAACTATTTCATCATCACAAAGATCTCCCTTGTGCTACTCCTTTATAGATACACCCACCTTCCTTCCTCCACCACAGTTCCCTAACCCCTGATAGCCACTAATTTGTTCTTCATTTCTATAATTTTGTCATTTCAAGTATGTTATAAAAATGGAATCATACAGTGTCTACTGTTGAGATTGGCTTTTTTTTTAAATTCATCACAATGACTGTGAGGTCATTCGAGTTGCTGTGTGTATCAATAGTTTGATCCTTTTTACTGGTGGGTAGTATTCCAAGGTAGGGAGGTACTATAGTGTATTTAACCATTCACCCAGTGAAGAATATTTGGGTGGTATCCAGTTTGGAGCTATCATGAATAAAATTGCTATTAACATTTGTGTACAGGTTTTTGTATGGACATAAGTTTCCATTTTTCTGTGATAAATGTCCAAGAGGGCAATTGCTGGGTTGTACGGTAAGTTCATATTAGTTTTATAAGAAACAGCTCAACTTTCTTAAAGTAGTTGTAACATTTTACGTTCCCACCAGCAATGTGTGAGTGATTCAGTTTCTCCACATTTTTGAGAGCATTTGTTGTTACTACTATTTTTTATTTTAGCCATTCTGATAGTAGTGTAATTATATTTCATTGCGGTTTAATTTACATTTCACTAGTGTCTAATGATGCTGAAAATCTTTTCATGTGCTTATTTGCCATCCATACATCTTCTTTAGTGAAATGTCTC